CCTCCAAAGAACGCTGAGTTCGAGGCCCAACTCTTGGAGCGTCTCACTGCGCTGGACGGCAAGGTGGCCGAGCTGGGCGAGACTGTGCAGCGTCCAGCTGCTCCGCTTGGCCTCAGCGAGAAGGATCGCGTCTACATCCAGGAACTGAACAACGATACCCTGAATGCCCTGGCGCAGCTGAAGAGCGAGTCCGCGGTCGTTCAGAAATCAGGTGGGTGCACAAGTCATCTTAATTGCGGGTCCACTTCCACTTGCTCTTTCCCTGTTCTATAGCTGCGACGGAGACCAAGGAGCGACTGCAGCAGGCGGAGGCCAGCATCCAGGCGGACGTTCGTCAGCTCTCCGCGGACGTGGGCATCCTCAACAAGCACTTCGCCGCGACGAACGAGAGCAATGCCAAGCTGAACGAGGGACTGGAGGCACTCGACAAGTTCAGCAACATAATGATGACCAACTCGGAACTCGTGCTGGACACACAGCGCAAGGTGGACTTCGGCACACTGAACGTGGTGCAGCGGGTGGGCAAGTTGCTGGCGGAGGAGATGGCCACGCTGAAGGAGCTGCTAAAGGAGCGCTTCTCATCGCTGGACGGAGCGGTGGTGGGCATCCAGCAGGAGGCGAACAAGAACATCAGCGGACTGCTGGAAACGGAACTGAACCAGGTGTGGCACCGCATTGAGATCATGGCCGGCGAGATCAGCCAGAGCAGGTTGATGCTCGGAGATATCCAGGTCGCCTCCGATGGATACAACAACAGCACGCTCATCACGATGATGGGACTCGGCAGCCGCGTGGAGGAGACCAAGAAGCACATGATCGACATGGACGAGAACCTCAACTTTTTGCTCGGCAAGCTGTCGCTCATGTCCACCGAGTTCGCCAACATCAAGAAGGGTCTGGCCGACTCCCTCGAGGATCTGCGCAACTCCTTCCACGGCCTCCACGAGCGGATGCCCACGGGTCCGGGGCCACACAACATCGACAAGAACAAGTATCTGACCGACGTCAATCTTCTGTCCAAGCGCCACGCTGAGCCCGGCAGGGAGTAGAGCGGGAGCGGCGGAGATGGAATTTGAACAGAAACCAATACAATACTTCTAACCTTAGCGCTTAAGTCTGCCCACTTACATATACTCATCTCGTTGCGCCTTACGCTGAAGCACTGCAAAACGTCGTTCAATAAAGATCGAATATTATGTACAAGATACGAAATGCTGTTTGCCCAAACGGCAAATCCTGCCCGAAAACACTGGCATGCGAACAATACACTTTGCGGTTTACTCTTACGAACTAAAAGGAATTCCTGGCGATAATTTACATAATGTTAAGGTAACTAGTTAATATAAGGGTGTCGTGGGTTTTCCCATTCGAATGATGCGCCTACGTGCCCCACCGCTGCTCGCATCGCGAGTACTTGCACAGGATGCTGGCGAACGTCTCCACGTCGAAGTGGCGTCCGCTGGGATGCGTGTGGAACTCGGTGAAGCGCGCGTGCCAGGGCAGCAGGCCGTAGGTGCACGTCTGCCGGGCGAACACGATGCCCAGCTCCGGCTCCGGGGCCTCGAACCCGAGTCGCTTGCTCAGCATGTCGCTGATCTGCTCCGTCAGCGCTTCGCGCTTTTGCTTGAGTAGACTCTGCACCAATTCCGTCTCCCTGCCTTCGTACAACTCCCGGCAGACGTCGGCGATCAGGGCATGTCCGTCGGAGGCGCTGATTTGATGTAGCTGAAAGACGGGGAAGCCGAAAAGTCAATTAGAACTTGATAAGACAACGACTAGTTCCGGGAATCGATTACGTTGATATACCCTTACAAAGTTGTCAATGGATACAAATGATGATTAAAAGTGGTTGTCAGCTCGAAAATGCTTTGTAATAAATGTTTGGCTTATGAAATATTCACGTCTATGATGAAACTAAAGTATATCTCGATGAAATATAACATTCAACAATTTACAATAAAAGCGTAGTAAGTAGTTTGTAAGGGTATATCGAACATAGTTCTAAAGTCCATTGATAATCACGGCTTATCAGACGCGGCCACTCACCTGCAGTTCAGGGGAATGTGAACCGTTCACATAACCATTTGACTTTTGTCCGTTTTTGGGCTGGTTCTCCAGTTTGCTGGGAATGGGACCGGGTGGCCACTTTAAGCAGCTGCGCGTGTCCCCGCTGGTGGACCGACAGAGATCGGCCATGTCCACATAGCCTCTGCCTTTCGTGCGCCTGTCGTACAGGCTGACGTGCTTGATGCCCACGTCCAGGGCAAAGTCGAAGATCCTGCTCAGGAGCACCGCATCCACGCCGGTATCCACGGGGGAGATAACCAGGACCAGATGCTGCGGCGTCTTGGTCAACTGGGAACGGCAGTCGGCGAGCACGCGCCTCTCGTGCACCTCACGTGCCGTTTTGCTGCGCCAAAGGTCATATGACCGGACGTACAGTGCATTCAGCCGCTCTCCGAGCCGCCACATCAGTTCGTAGCCGGTAACCAGGAGAAGCAGTATCCTGCCGAGCAGCAGGCACAGCACCTCGATCATGTTGCGCTTGTCAGGGCCGGTTCCTCGACCAGCGGTGGTGTCTTCTGTGAGGAATCCGCTCCTGTTGCTTCTTCGGTTCCCCGTCGCAGTGTACACAAGCGGACATAACCTGTAAATGGGTGGCGGACCTGCGATTAGGGCTTTCCAAAGGTGCCGGCTGCCCAGCCACGCTCATCCAGGGTCACTTCGCTACCTGTTCAGTCACTTGGGACGCTGGTGCATCTTGTTATCCAAGCGTAATCAAGTTTTAAGCGATGAACTTCGCAAGAATAATGCCAATACGTGTTCTTAAGTGTGACCAGGCGCCGGAGTCCGCCAAATACCAAGCGAACATGTGATAATTCTAAAGCAGCTATTAATTTATAAAATAAAAAATGCGCCTTAAATATCTGTAAACGAATTGGGAAGGAATCCACATTTAATTGGAAAACGTCTGCATCAAAGAATAAATATGAACAGTATTCAAAAAAATATTTTACAGAACTGGAAATAGCGCAAATTTCTTAAGATGCACTCTAGTAGATGTGAAGCCTTTGAAATCAAAATAAAATTTTTTGATATGCATATAAAAAATGCATAGTATATTATTTTGGATTTAGTTTTTTACTAAGCATATTATTTTATACACTCAAACAACAGCTTTTGTAAGTGTTAAGTTGTTCGTCCTAAATAAATAATAAATTGTAGTATTCTCGCCAGCGACAGGGCTAACTCTTCATGCATTGTAATTGTGGATTTTTTTTATATACTTAGCTCTGGCATTAACATATTATTTTACACATTCAAACAACAGCTCTTGTAAGTGTTAGGTTGCTTGTCTTAAATAGATAATAATTTTTAGTATTTTTGCCGGCGACATAAGGGTTAACTCGCTTGGCGTTTTCCGCGAATGCACGTCTGGTCACACCAAAAGCCACGCCAAGTTATTATTTTCGCCATTTCGCCGGTGTTCACCACTCAGCTTCTCATCAGTTCTACTTGGAATACAATTGCAGATCCTTGCGAATTAATCAGCCACATCAAAGGTGAGTAAGGCCTGCTTTTTGCTAAAAGCGTTCGTTTAAGAGGGGCTTTGTTTTTTATCGCAATTTATTTTCCCCCATTCGCCGGCTAAAAGTGTCTGTGGAATTAACGGTTAATGGGGAGGGGTGGGTGGTGCCAGCACGAATTTGCCTGTGTGTGTGTGTGTGAGTGTGTGCTTGCAGGCTGTGGGTGTTTGTACACACACACAACAACAACAATAGTAGTGAAGAGAGCCAAAAAGACAAGAGACAGCTGTGTGATGGCTATTTTTGTGTGATTCATGTTGTTTGTAAAATTATATCTACATGGTGTATTTATAACGATGATTTCACATCCGATTCCACGGCATAAAAACCAAACTAATTAATTGCCAGCAAGTGTATGCAAATTAACCCCTTGCAGCTGCCTTTGCGATTGTTAACCCCCGATAAGAAAAAGTAACTACTCAGCTGTTGTGGCCATTTTTTGTTTTTGTTTCGCTGACTCACAGACACATAGTTATTATATTTGTACATATGCATATGTATGTGCTTTACGCAAGAGCAAACCCGTTTGCTTGTGTTTGTGCGGGAATGAGTCAAAAAGTTGCCCAAAACGCTATTATCAGCGAATAGCGATTGAAAATCGCCAGAGATTACCACTCACCTCTTTTTCGGTGGAAAAAAATAAGACCTCGCCTTATAAGGTGGGCGATTTTCCTTTTACCATTTTCCCCCCACCGGTAACTCGAGCTCACACACACACACACTTGCAGTCGGAATAACGGTTCCTCAGCTGCAGACATTTAATCTTCTTGGTTTCTAGTTTTTTCCATTTCTCCTTTGCTTGCTGCACGCAACAAACGCATCTGCCGCAGAAAACGCATCAAGACCACAAGGAGAACTAGTATCGCCAGGCGAAAGTTGAATCTCGGCCTGCTTCCCCTCAGTTCCCCCAATCAACCGGCTGCTGATGCATTTCCCACTCTAATTGCCAGCCATTTGTTTTAAGCTACTTAAAGACAAAAACAACGTCGGTGTTGCCGGTGCAATAAACCCATTGCACTAAGGCCAAAACAAAAACTGGCAAGCAAACGATATGGGAGTCCGAGCAGAGTCGACGTTTTTATACCCTTTTTTCATTGCATCTCTCTACTGTCCAGCTCTCAAAGTTGTGTGCATGTTCAAATGGTATAATACTTCCATCATTTCCTTGGAAGCTTTTCAAATACTAGAGATGACTTGGGAACCCTGCCTTATAAGGCTGATAGAACTATGGGATCGGCTAGCTGTTCCCATTGCTAGGGTATCAAGAAATCAGAGTGCTGTCTGCGCAACTCTCTCAGAGAGTTTTCCATTTTCCGCCTCGACCGTAAGCTTTCTCTGCCGCAAAAGTGCAAGATATCGCCGCAGCTTGCAAGAAATCCTGCATGCCAGGCCAAAAGCGGTTATTAATGAAACACATTTTCATTGCCAGTCGGTGGCTGGCCCGAAATGGTCAAAAGCCAAGCAGCAACTCCACAGTTAACAGTTAACAGTCCGTGCTAACAGAGTCCTGTTGAGTCCTTCGAGTTCGAAAGGATACGAGACGAATCGAATCGAGACCGAACCCCAATCGAATCCGAGTGTGTGGGCGTGCGCTTCGTTTAGGGTGTGTTCTCCGTGTGTAATCGCATTTGTGTGTCATTTGGTTCTGTGCTCGGTCGGTAGTCACTTGACCCAGTTGGAGGTCCGGACAACTGTGAGGACCTTTTTAATGTGCCAATACATTTGGGCCATACACTGGATAGACACATCGCACACCCAACGAGCAAGGAGTGGCCACGTCCTTTGGAAACCCGTTGAGTGTCTTGTATGGCTGCTGCTTCTACTCACTTGATTTGGTTTGGTTTGGTGTGATGTCAGTGTTGTGACCGCCGCTTGAGCTTCACGGGCATCCGCAGACCAACACGGAACTTACATAATGTGCTTGATTCGTATCTAGAGTGTTGAGCACCGGAAAAGCCCAGCCAAACCGCCTGCAAAATGTTCTCCTGCTGCCGCTCGAACCCCAAGGCGGGCAAGAAGTTGAAGGATAAAGGGAACGCGGTGGAGGAGGAGGAGAACGGAGTACAGGCCACCGAAAAGGCGGAAGAAGCCCAGCTGAATGGCAAGCCAGGCACTCCGAAGGAGGAGCCACAACCTGTGAAACCAGAAAAGGAGCCCTTGGAAGCGGATAATCCCGAGGATGAAGCCAGCACCCAGCCAAACACTGGTACTGACGCTGCTGAACCCTAAGTATTTCCCCACCACCCCAACTACTCGTTCTCCGGCTTTCGAGCTCAACAGCTGTCTCGGCTTCTGTTTGCTCTCCGGAACGAAGGCCCGTATCCGGCCGATTCTCAGACAATGCTAATGCACTGCTAGTGCAGCTGACCACAACCTCTGATTCCTTTCATTTCAAGCCGAGTACTTCAAGCCGCCTCGAGTGGCCTTTTCTGTTTACTTTTGAGTTGTCTTCACTGTGCTTTCTCTTCGGTTTATTTCTGTGAATTTTATGTTTGTCGAATATCAAGGAATTGCGCCGATTCGCAGTTGATTAATGAGAAATAGCTAATGACATTGCATACATATTTTGTTTGATCGTGCTCATCCATCAAACTGAACTTGTTGTATGCAGTAGTGTTCTACAGCTTACGTGCCGAATATAGAAACTCAAATGAAGGTCACTTTTCTATCGATTTAGGAAATATTTAGAAAATATTTTCAATTAGGCAAAGCATATGTTATAGCCAAGAAAATCCGCGATTCTATAGATTTCTGTGCGCTTACGGTGATAAATCAAAGGTGAGCAATCAAAACTAACTACTTAATCTACCAGTGACCATGACATCATAGTAAATCATGGAAAATGCAGTCCTTTAAATGCGATAAATGAACGTAATGAACCCAGGAAGCAGGGTGAACAGAGAGTGAAGTAAAGTAATCAACTTAAGTATCGGCGCTTTCCTTGATGACCGTCTGTGTAATTCGAGCTTCATGTAGAGTAATCTTAAGCAACACTTCCACAGCCCAACCAACTCAGTCTGAAGCGGCTAGCAAATCACCACCAGCAAGTCCAGCACCAGCACCTGTACCAGTTGCAGACGCAAAAACAGTTCCCGCACCCAAAGAACCGGAGCCACTGGCCCGCTCCACGCACTCTTCCACATCCACGGCACCACCTGCTTCGATGACCAGCGGCGAGGCGGAGGAGGCGGATGAAGTGGTGGTGGCGGCAGTCACTCCAACCACACCGCCTCCACAGCCGCCGCCCACCAAGAGCTGCCTGTCCAGGCACAACTCCACACATCAGTCGATCAAGAAGAAGGTGAACATCAGCAACCGGGCGGAGATCATCGAGCCGGATCCACTGCCACTGCTCCTGCTGGCCAGCCAGAATCAGGGCTCCCTGCTGGACGACGACGAGGTGTTCTCCGACTCCCTGCCTCCGCCCAAACGGGAGAGCATGTGTGCGCCCTACATCGAGGGGGATGTCGTCTCGGAAACACTGTTCTTTGCCCACGGCTTGCCCTCCTGGTTCGACGACGAGCGCCTGAACGACATGTATGCTTACTCCAGACCCTGTTCTGGTTTCACTGCAACTGCGCCCAAGATATCCATCCAGTTTAGTTGAAACCAGAGCAGGCTGACCCTGCATTCCCTGCCACGCTTTGAACTGCTAGTATATCGTCTCCTCTGACCTCGTTCCATGTCCAGCGGCTGCATCGAGCCACCGGTCACGCCGGTGGGACGCGACGAGCTGGAGCTGAAGCGCCAGCGTCTCTACACGGAGCTCCTGCGGGCCGCCCATGCGGCTGTGGAGCATAGCGTGGCCGTGCGGGGTATGCGAGCTTCGATAGAGTCCGATTCTTTTGTATTTTTCGATCTCAGCAGTTCTTTAAACGGATGCTTGACTTTCACTTCATGTTTTCGCTGTAAAGAAGATTTTATGGCCAACAAGTTGGCAAGTCAAGTGTTTCTGTTTAAAGGTTCAACTTAGTCATTCTCTCTTTTGATTTTTCGTTGTCTTTTGCCGTTTTTGCATGTGGTTTGTTACTTTCACTCGTTGGAATTAGCTCTTTATAAGTATTAAGCGCACCAGTTCATCATCATCCACAAGCTCGCGATGAGAGATTCCTCTCGAGACGCCTTAGTTTATATCGCCTTTTTGTCAGATATTGTGAGTGCACGATTCACAGGGGTTTATCACGCTGACACATCATCTCACTAAATTACTTTCCTTATAAACTCAGTGTTTGAATAATTTGTATAATAGGAAATAATTGTCAAACGAACTCACCGTTTTCCGCTCTCTTTCGCGTCATTCTGGTTCAGATAACGAGCCGGAAGCCAAGCCCTCGGCCGCCGCAGACCACTTGGAGAGCATTTGCGAGCGACTGGAGACCCTCGTCGACCGATTGGAACGGACTCTAACAGCGCCACAGCCGATAGAACTGCCCACGCCCACACTCCCGCCCCCGCCAGCCGAAGAAGAAGAAGTTGAGGAAGCTCTTCCAGTTTTTGAGAAAGCAGAAACACCACCTCCACCGCTTTCGCCGCCCAGCAGCAACATGAGTGTCGCCGGATTCGAGGACATTGTGGCGGGTCCGCTGAGCCAATACCTAGCCCTCTCCGCCAAAATTGGCGGCGATGTGGCGCAGCATGCGGAGCTTGTAAAGAGCGCCTTTGGGTGAGTCAGCCTGAATGAGTCATCTATGGGAGAAGTGGAATAATGACATCGTTCAATCCCCCGAACAGTTCCCAACTGCAGTATGTGACGCTGGCCACTCAGATTGCCCAGCCGGCGCAGCCCAAGCAGGCGGAGCTCCTGAAGCCGACCTCGACGCAGATCAGCGCCATCCAGGACTTCCGCGAGAAGCACCGCTCCTCGCCCTTCTTCAACCACCTGTCGGCCATCAGCGAAAGCATTCCCGCCTTGGGCTGGGTGTGCGTGGAGAAGACCCCGGGTCCTTATGTCAAGGAGATGAACGACGCCGGCCAGTTCTACACGAACCGCGTGCTCAAGGAGTGGAAGGAGAAGGATGTCACGCATGTGGAGTGGGCCCGCAGCTGGGTACAGACGCTCACCGAACTGCAGGCCTACATCCGGCAGTACCACACCACGGGCTTGGTGTGGTCCGGCAAGGGAGCGGCCCCCGCCGGAGGTGCCCCGCCACCACCGCCACCCGGTGGTCTGCCCCCACCGCCACCCATGCTGGATCTGAGTGCCCTCAAGCTGGACAGCGCCGGAGATGATCGCAGCGCCCTATTCGCCCAGATCAACCAGGGTGCCGACATTACCAAGGGTGAGCAGCAGCTGCAAATATGGTTAAGTGCTCCCATGGTAACAAAATGTATATTTTGATAAACCCGCAGGCTTGAAGAAGGTCACTGGAGACATGCAGACCCACAAAAATCCATCTCTGCGCACTGGACCGGCTCCGTTCAAATCGCCAGCCCAATCGGGCGGCAGCAAGGCCGTTGCTGCTCCAGCGCAAGCCAAGGCGCCCGTTTTCGAGCGTGACGGAAAGAAGTGGATCATCGAGTACCAGAAGAACAACACCGGTCTGCTGGTGGAGAACGCCGAGATGAACAACGTGGTGTACGTGTTCAGGTGCGAGGGATCCACTCTGACCGTCAAGGGCAAGGTGAACAACATCGTCTTCGATTCCTGCAAGAAGTGCTCCCTGCTGTTCGACTCCGTGGTGGCCTCCGTGGAGTTCGTCAACTGCCAGAGCGTGCAGATGCAGGTGCTCGGCTCGGTGCCGACGGTTTCGATCGACAAGACCGACGGATGCCAGATGTATCTGTCCAAGGACTCGCTGGGCGTGGAGATCGTCAACTCCAAGTCCTCCGAGATGAACATCCTGTTGCCCGACGACAGCGGCGATTATGTGAGTTCACAAAGGCTTATCTTCTTTTCAGTTACCCATTTATATTCGTTTGGTTTCCAGACCGAGTTGGCTTTACCGGAGCAGTATAAGACCACGATTGCCGGCAAGACCCTCAAGACTGTGTGCGTGGACAGCCTCGGCTAATGCGGTTCGCCTCCTCGGGCATCCAATTCGTTGCTTTTCCAACTGTCATCTGCTGATGAGCAAGCATTAGCCAGTCAGCAATCATAATTGTATTTAATCTAAGTGCAAAGTTTTCGAAATTCAGAGATATTTAGATCGAACTCTTCGTATGATGATGTTGCCAAACTTTGCTGTCCACTGGCTTGTGGAAAGTATTTATATAATTTATTTCGATGGAAAAGCGATGGCCACAAAACCGAACCCAATGTATTTATATCGAGAGTGTGTAATGAGAAACTGAGCACGAAATTCGAACTTTTTGAGCGGACTCTACTCGATCATCAGATGTAACTCCTTTTTATATTCTATTTAATAAAATTTAAACTTTTTTATCAGATTACGGTGCGCGCAACCCATTGGGGATGTTACTAAAATGGGAATTACATTCTATTCGTTTATTCATACAATCTAAAACTTCACTTTCATTCGATCGTACTTTTATTCTCTATTTAAACAAGGTGCTAGCATTTTTTATCAGATAAAAAAATGAGAACTTGATTTATTGCTACGTACATTTACAATTTCTTTAATGAAGCCGAGCTCAGAATGAGGGGGTCAGGGATTGGTAGGGAATGGCTTGGTGGCTAATACTAGGACCCTAGATCTTCTTGTACTCGATGCGCTCCACCTTGACCTCGTCGCCGATCAGTTGGTACACGTACGTGACCACCGTGGTGCTCTGGATGTCCATCAGCACGAACGAGGGCACCACATTGGTGTCCAGTGGGTTGAAGGCGCCCGTGGCCGATCCCGGATTGATGTAGAACTTGTTCCCGTGCTCGTAGGCCTCGAACTTGTACGTGTGCCCCGTGATCAGGATGTCCACGTCCAGTTGCCGCTGGATGAGGGCCAGTGCCTCCGGGTCTCCCCGGGGAACCACCTGGTGGCCGTGGCACAGGCCGATCCGGAACTGGCCCACCGTGACCACCTTCTGCTCCGGATACGTCAGGTTCTCGTCGAAGTCGCCGCGCACTATGTGCACATCATTGGCCAGGGACTTCAGGTAGTCGTAGGACTCCTTGGTGCAGATGTTTCCGGTGGCCAGGATGTGATGGATGCGGCCCGGCACCAGCAGCTTCTTGAACTTGGCCGGTAGGCTGCTGCACCGGTGCGGAATGTGCAGGTCGCCGAGTACCAGAACGAGCATTGTGTCCTTTGTGGAGCTTTGTTGTGTTTCCCAAAAAAATTGTGAAACGCCCAGCGAATCAAACGATAGGTCGCAGCGATAACGATACCGCCTCTATCGAAGGCGGTTGGTGGTGACACCGTTTTGTTTTCACCGATCAAAAGGTTCGTATGCACTTGGAGGTACCCTAACGCGAATATCGATTGGCGCGCATCTCTAGCGATAACATTGCCGGCGAAAATGGAAGCGGATCAAGCAGCAAGCAAAGAAGGTATTTGTTTTGAGCTAGAATCGAAAGAAAACAGTGGTTTTTGAACGCACATTTCAGCCGAATCATGCATCGACCTCTTGGTGATCGTGCTGGACACTAACCCCTCGCAGCACATCGTGCGCCAGAACCCACAGAACCTCACCCAAATCCTGGAGGCGGTGATTGCCTTCGGGAATGCACACCTGATGCAGAAGGCCCAGAACAAACTGGCTGTGGTGTCCTGCTCCCATCATGCAACGTGAGTAGAGGCTGCCACGCATGACCGTCACCTAATGGCTCATCCATTACAGAAACTTCCTGTATCCGCTGCCCAGGCGGCAAGTGGAGCTGCGCCAAGTGGATGGACAGTACGAGGCCTTTAGTCTGGTGGAGAAGACTGTGAAACAGCAGCTGGGCAGCATACTGATGAACGCTCCACGGCTCAGTGCTCCTTGTGAGAGTCTCCTAGCGGGCAGCATGTCCATGGCGCTGTGCTACATATCCAGGGTAGAGAAAACTTAAGGAGTAACCTAGAAGCTAACAAATCTAACCCAAAATACTCGTGTACAGCTCCAGAGGAATGTGGCTCCTGGCGTTAAGATGCACTCCCGCATCCTGGTCCTCACCGGCAGCAACGAGTGCGCCTCCCAGTACATGACGTTCATGAACGTCTTCTTCACCGCCCAGAAACTGGGCATCACGATCGATACCTGCGCCCTGAACAAGACGCTCAGTTTGCTCCAGCAAGGCTGTGATATTACCTCCGGGCAGTTCCTCAAGGTCACCCAGTTGGACGGCCTGCTCCAGTACCTCTTGTGGGTCTTCCTGCCCGCCCCGCACATCCGACACAAGCTGGTCCTGCCGCCACCGCCCAAGGTGGACTACCGCGCCTCCTGCTTCTGCCATCGTGAGCTCATCGACATTGGCTACGTCTGCTCGGTTTGCCTGTCGGTCTTTTGCAAATACAGTCCAATATGCACCACTTGCCAGTGAGTATAATTTAAGGTTTAATCAACGAGATCTGTACTAACGGACGTTTTCTTTCTTTGCAGTACCATTTTCAAGAACCCCGGCCCTTTGCCCATTAAGGGTAAAAAGAAAAAGAAGACCGACAAGCAAATGTAATGGCAGCAGTAGCAAATACTGGTTACCAAAGGGAGCAGTATGTTAAATATAAAGGTACTTTTTAATTTACAACTCTATTTATTGGGGCAACAGGTGTATAGTCTCATTAATCCGACAAATCTCTAGACAACTTCCATGTTAAGTGTACCATTTAATCAGACATTTCTGGTTATTTTACTAAAGTACATGGGTCCAAAGTTGGCCGGCAAGTAGGGCACCACCATTTGTCCGTACTTGAGTCCCTTCGGGTGCTCGAACTTGAAGACATCGCTGAAGAGCGCCGTGTGCCGACTCAGATCCTTGATGGTGGCTGTGATGCCGTGTTCCGTGAAGACCTTTTGTAGGGCCATGTGCACAACGCCATCGTTCTGGATGGGCGACAGCGAGCAGGTGGAGTAAACCAAGCTGCCACCTGGTCGCAGGAGACGCAAGCAGTTGGCCAGGATGCCTGCCTGGAGCTCTGGGATCCGCAGGCGCTCCTTAACGCGCGTCGGCTTGAAGATATTGTTGTCCTGCTCGTTGAGCACATGGCGATCCGTGGTGCAGGGCACGTCGACCAGGATCTTGTCGAACTGCTCATACTGGTCCAGATTGCGGGCGTCACTCTGGCTGAAGATGAGGCGCTTGCCCGCCCAGCGCTCCTTGTAGTCGAACAGGTACTCCTGCATCACTTTGCGCAGCTTATTTAGGCGGGATTCTTGGATGTCATTGCAGACGAGGTGATCCAAGTGCAGCGTCTGCAGCATAAGCAGGGATTTGCCGCCTGGAGAGGCACAGGCATCGAGCACACGCTCGCCAGGCTTCACCTGCAGGAAAAGAGGCGGCAAAGTCGAGGCACCATCCATCATGAAGTGGGAGAGCACACCGGTTAAGCACTTCTTGGGTCCCTTGAAGTCCGAGCAGTTGCCCATTTCATATGTGTACAGTGCTAGATGCTCGGGATAGTGAAAGGAAGGCTCCGGCTCAATGGCGAGTGGGAAATCGGCGCTGGTTTGGTAGTACTTGTAGTGCTCCGACTCTGCCACCCAGTCCTCCATGCCCTTGATGCTGTGGGCAGGCATGTATTCGTACAGTCCGCCTGTGCCGAACTGGGGATCCACCAAGCGATGTTCGTCCAGCTTCACATCCTCCTCCAAAGCCTTCGTCAGGCTCTGTTTGAAGGGATTGGTCGCCTGCTCCGGCTGCGTTTCCTGTATGTTGTCAAACTTCAGCTCCAGCGGCAGTTGCGCGGATGCACCATCCTCCGGCGAGCTCGGGTATATAGAGGCCACCTCTCGTTCCTGCTGTTTCCGCAGCAGTGCATCCAGCTTGCCCTCGATTTCATGCCGGGATTCGCCCTGTTCCGGCAACGTCTCCGTGCTGTCCTTGAGGCGATCCTGTGCCAGGTTGATCAGGGACTTCATGTTGATGGCTCCATCTGACTCCAGCATGCCGCACGTCTGCTCCGTGTCCCCGAAATTGTTGACCATGGCGACGTACTTGTGCCTCGTGAGCAGCGCCGCTCGCATGTTCTTCCACCGGCTGCCGTACACACTCCCGTAGAAATCATCAAAGTTCTCCAGCGCCCGGTCGCAGTTGTTCTTCCTGTTCTGCAGCACATTCCATCGCTTCTTGGCGCCGCTCTTCCACCTCCTGGACAGCCAACAAATGCTCCGTACTTTCAACATTTTGCGCTATCCGCTGAAACCGGCAAAGGCGAACTGATTACATGAAATCATATGTTTCTGCGGGACTATCGATAGATGACTGTCTTTTGGCGCCTCAGGTAATCGAAGTTCGAATGGTGATAAGCGATAGCAAAGATAGGAATGTTGGTTCTTATATGTAATAATCACTTCACCTTGTCACCCAATCTCTGTAAAGTTTTTTCTACATAATCAGAATGAGATACGCCTAGAGCATACATTTTTCGCCTTTGACCTACATCATGTTCATCAGTGTTCATATATCCAGCAAATTCAGAACAGATCCCCTGTTTTTAGGTGTGTTATATACCTACGTGTCTGTAACTAAATGCTCTGAGATTCTGTGGAATGGCTTATTGCAAGCGCTAAAAATAAACAGTGGAAATTGGGTCATTCACCCAGTATTTCCATCGAAATCGAGGGTGAGCCCTCGACATTATTCTCCCTTCCCCGCCAGAATTTGTTTAAACACCAGCCATGCATCCACTAAGACGTCGCTTTATTTGTAGTAAACTTTTGAAATCAAGAGTGTTAAGTACATTAGGCGGGCTAAAGTGTTCATCCGTAATGGATACGGCTACTAACTATTGGTTACAGCGATCTAAAAACTACAGTGCACACCCCAAATAGAGAACGCATGTAAATAGCGCTCCAATCCGAACTTAAATCTTCTCGAAATTATCTTCCATAGCTTTCCCATTCCGGGTGGGCATTGTACAATTGTAATTGGTATTTACAGTCCAGCATTGACCATTCCACTTGGAACTGGCTACATCCAAAAGTTGTATGAATAAGCAGCAGTTCGTCGAGTAATTTAGGCAGAGAAATCGGGGCGAGATTGGGGCTTAGGGCTTAGTGGGGAGCTCCTTCAACGGAGTCTTTTCGTCCTTGGCCTCGGGATCCTTGGGGGTTCCGGCCTTGTTCCACGGCTGCTCGCTGCCGGAGCCCAAGAAGACGAATACCAGGAATTCCAGGGCGAACAGGACGATGGTCACTCCGAAGATGATGCGCCAGGCGCTAATGTTTTGCTGAAAATGTGAATCGAAGAAACCCATTGAAGATATTGGCGAGCACAACCAGATCCAGTTCGCTTACATTTCCCTTGGTGACGAATCCCACGAAGAGGGGCACAACAATACCTGGCAAAGTAG